CGTGTATACATATATACATATATGTTTTGACAAAAATACATTAAATATTCTGTTTTGGTAAACTACTTTTCCCCTTTCATTAAAATTGAATGTGCACCTTTCCACGTTATTAAAGATTCGTATTCAATACTTTGTCTATACAACTTTTGTATGGATTTTCCATAATTATCCTATTGCTCAGCAATTAATATTTATTTTTCCATTTTTCCTTCTTTTCGGAGCAACTTCAGTGATGGTCCTTGGGACTGATGAAAGGTTGAGAAATAGAATAGCCGGATCAAAAGCAAGACGAATTTTTAAGACGGTTGATCATCATTGCGAAATTATTCTAAAAACTGCACATTTTCACTGGTACTTTGCTAGTACCAGGTGGTCTCCTTCCTCCACCAACCTTTGCCACATTGACAGGCCCCAAATGGTATCCCACGTCGATGGGCTTTTCTTTGACTGTGATGAGAGTGACCATTTTTTCAAATGTTTATTGACTATTAATATGTTTCTCTTGAAAATTGTTGGTTTGTGCCTTTTCATATGGTTTTCTACTGGGGTGCTGTTCCTCTTTTTCATATTGACTTATAAAAACATTTTACGTATATAGTGTCTAGTAAACCAATTGCCGTCGAGTCAGCCCCAACTTATGGCAACCCCATGCATGTCAGAGGAGAACTGTGCTCCATAAGGTTTTCAATGGCTGGTTTTTCAGAATTAGATTGCCAGGCCTTTCTTCCAAGGTGCTCCTGGGTAGACTCATTGAACCTCCAACCTTTGGGTTAGCGGCTGAACACGTTAACCGTTGGCACCACCCATGGACTATAAAGTCTGTTAGTCCTGTTACACAGAGTGAACATTCCCCCCACCCCCTCCGTTTTCCCTCTTTATAGTGGAGTTTTAGCAAACCATTTAATACATTTGTGTTTTCTGCCTTTCTTGTTTAATTACTGGTCACTAATGCGGCATCACTGTTCACTTTCTGGAGTTATTAAAAAGAGACGTGTATCCCCAATATCCCCTCCAAAGCACACTCTGATCATCCAGTGGATACATCTGTGTATTTGTAACATGATCAACATCTCTACCCCAACCTCAAAGAGCTATCAAGGGCACAGTTGGTTTTACTTGATCACCCAGCCCCTTATGGATCTTGCCAAATATTGTACGTGTAGGTGAGGATATCCAGGCAACTCACAATTTGCTATGCAGTTGGCCATGGAAGGTTGAGATGGATCTCTTTTTATTTTTTTGATCCAGCTAAGAGAAGTTTATGTCTTTCTATCTGTAAATTATGACATCTTATCTCTCAGACGTAACAGCAGCTAATGGTTCGGTCTCTGGGTAATGTAACCCAGCAGGAGGTCCAATGCCTGCAAAGCCCAGGCCTTAGAACAAAAAGGTATTTTGATCTAGCCAGTAAATAAAAGTGATGTTTTTTTTTTCAGCTATAAAAGGACAAAAGGGTTTGAACTTCTCCCACTGGGCAGGGTTTCCTAGACTTGTTTTCCTGGCACTTGGCCATGGAGCTAATGCAGTGTCTTCCAGATTTCTTCCATTTTTGTAGTGGTGTGAAGAGTTTGCTGGATAAGGCTGGAATCACTCCATGGCGTGATGATTCAAGCCCAGGACCCTGTGAACCCAGCGGGACTGCAGCCGCAGCCTAGATCTGGAACTGTCGTGGGCAGACCGTTTATCAGTGTAGGAAAGGCTCAGGATGCCATCCTTTTGCCTTTTAAGTCCCTTGATGGCCCCATCAGGGTTGTGTTTTCCTACTTGAGGAAAAACATTTAGCGTTTAATGCCCTAAATGTAACAAGGGGGGTAGATGGCTCATTGCTTCAGTTGTCAAAGATGTTTTGGTTAAAGTATTCAACTACTTTCAAAGTTAAAAACTATTAACTATTAAAAGCTAGTAACCATTTTCAAGGTTTAAACAGCTCAGTGACGTTGGGAAGGAGCCCTGGCGGCTCAGTGGTTAAGTGCTTGGCTGCTAACCAAAAGGTTTGGGATTTGAATCCACCTAGGTGCTCTGTAGGAGAAAGACCTGATGATCTGTTTCTATAAAGATGACAGCCAAGAAAACCCTATGGGGCAGTTCTACTCTGTCACATGGGGTCATGGTGAGTTGCAATCAACTCAACTTCACCTCACAACAACAACATGACCTTGGGTCTTCCTTGCTGATTGTCTATATACATACTCTAGCCCTAAAACCCAAGAGTACTGTTATCCATTTTCATTACACTATTGCAAGAAGAAACAGCCTACCCTCGGTCCCAGGTGCCTTTCTTAGGACATTGTTGTAGCTAGAGTAAAACCAGTTGCTGTCGAGTTGGTTCCGACTCATGGTGACCCCACGTGGGTCAGAGTATAACTGTGCTCCATAGAGCTTGCAACGGTGGATTTTTCGGAAGTAGATCACCAGGCCTTTCTTCTGAGGTGCCTCTGGGTACACCCAAACCTCCAACCTCTCAGTTAACAGCCAAGCACGCCGACCATTTGCACCACCCAGGGACTCCATGGCTGGAGTAAGAGAATGAGATTTTATGAATAACAGAGCACTTTGCCTCAGGTGTGTGGTGCGGAATCAGCACTGTGCTTGATGGCTTACGTGAATTGTTGTGTGTCGTGGAGTCGATTCCCACTCATAGTGACCCTATGGGACAGAGTAGAACTGCCCCATAGGGTTTCCAAGAGTGGATGGTGGATTTGAACTGCTGACCTTTTGGTTAGCAGCCTGAGCTCTTAACCACTTCGCCATCAACAGCAACAACTTCTGACATCCCAGCCACTGATCTGAATACCTAGGCATACTGAGTTGCTTCATCCTGACAGCAACCCCATGGGGTAGGGGCAGTTATTGTCCCCATGTTACAGATGAGAATAGCAAGTCACACAGAGCTAAGCGGCTGAGCCAGGATTTGACGTGAACAATCTGGCTCCAGAGCCTGCCCTCCTCCCTTGATTAGCATTGATAGGACAGCCCAGCCAGGCTGGGGATGGTGTCCCTATTCTACAGTTGAGAAGCTGAGCCCCAATAACTTCTCACACACTTGGGAAGTCTCAGAGTTTGGCTTTGAACCTTAATTCCAAAGCCTCCCTGCCCCCTTAAAACCAAAAAAACAAACTAGTTACTGCTTAGTTGAGTCGATTCGATCCCACCTGATGGTGACCCCACGTGTGTCAGGGGAGTACTGCGCTCCATAGGGTTTTCAAGACTGTGGCCTTTCAAGACCCGACGCCTCTGGGTAGGTTAGAGTCACCAACCTTTGAGTTACTGGTCATGCGTTTAACCGTCTGCCCCTCCCTGCCCTGCCCCCACCTTCTCCCTTGTTCTGTGTTTCACACAGAACAACACCTTCTGCTGGGTTCAGGGCCATGGTCACTTCAGAGAAGGCTGACAGTTGGCCAATGTTGCTGTGTGCCTTGGAGTCGATTCCAACCCCTAGTGATCCCGTGTGACAGGGTAGCACTGCCAAATAAGGTTTCTTAGGCTGTAATCTTTATGGAAGGAGCCCTTGTGGTGCAGTGGTTAAGTGAAGTGCTCGGCTGCTAACCGAAAGGTCAGTGATTCGAACTGACCAGCCACTCCATGGGAGAAAGATGAGGCAGTCTGCTTCTGTAAAGATTACAGCCTTGAAAACCCTATGGGGGGCACTTCTACTCTGTCCTGTAGGGGCGCTGTGAGTCCGAATCGACTCAGTGGCAGTGGGTTTTGGTTTTTTAATCTGTACGGGAGCAGATCGATAAGTCTTTTCTCCCTCGGAGCTGCTGGGTGGGTTCGAACTGCTAATCTTTTGGTTAGCTGCCGAGCACTTAACCACCGCACCACCAGGGCTCCTAATTGACCAATAGACAGATTCTTAAATGGGCTTCAACCCATTCTTTCTTCTGTCCCATACCGTGCTCTTATGGCACACGAAGCTGCCTGTTTAGACGGCACTCTTGATGTGCGCAAATTCCACATACCGGAATTGATTCTCACTCTATAAATGGCTCTACGATTTAGCTTCCCGGCTCATTTCTGCCTCAGGCCACTTGCATCTGCTGGCCCTCAGCTTGGGGCACTTTGTCCCCGGAGCTGGTCTTCCTCACCTCCTTGGGGCTGAGCCTGACGGCCCCAACTAAAGCAGCCGGTGCTGCAGTGATGCTCTGGGATGTCATCGCTCACGTTTCTTTCCTTGGTAACACTTGTCCTGAATGGCTGTATCATGTGATCATCTTTGTCTACTTTCCTGCCACCTGTCTCCACCTACTTGAATTCAAGCTTCATGAGGAAACAGTGACCTTGTTCGCTGCTGTATTGCTGGTCCCTAGGACAGTGCTTGGCGCATGGCGGGGCTCACAAAGCAGGCTCTGTTTCTGGCCAGTGCACCTCATGAGCGGTCATTACTCGTCTGTCAGGGGAGGCTTGCGTGTTTCGACGATGCCTAATAGGCTTCAGTGGAGCTTCCAGACTAAGACAGACTAGGAAGAAAGGCCTGGTGATCTACTCCTGAAAATTGACCAGTGAAAGCTGTATGGATCACAACAGTCCAATCTGCAACTGATCAATGGGCATGGTGCAGGAGCAGGCAGCGTTTCATTCCGTTGTACGTGGGGTCACCATGAGTTGGGGGCCTACTCAGCAGCAGCTAACAACACTAAAAACAACAACCAAATATTTACTGAATGAATGAGTGACACCACTGAGCAGCTGTGATGTCAGCTGGGCTCATTGACCCCATTAACTATTTTCAGGATTGAAATCTTTTTGGTATTCTTTTATTTGAATTTCAATTGCCTATTATAGGGTCCCTGTGAGTCAGAATCGACTTGATGGCAATGGATTTTTTTTTTTTTAATTTTTGGAAATGCAAATGTAGCATGGGGGCATATATTTAACACAATGGATAAGTATAGCCAACCATTTCCATCAATATAAAACTCCATTTTAAATACGAAACTAACTGGTCTCCGTTCGTCTCAGCCTCTCTTTCTCCTTCAGCTCAGTATCTCTTTCTCTCTCAGGCTCTGACCACCTCCGCGAGAAGGACGGCCTCTGGGCTGTGCTGGTGTGGCTGTCCATCCTCGCTGCCCGGAAGCAGAGTGTGGAGGAGATTGTCCGAGATCACTGGGCCAAATTTGGCCGCCACTATTATTGCAGGTGAGAAGGCTAAGAGTCTCCGTGTGGGCTCTGGTGAATGACACTGACAGGTCTCGAAAACTCGTGGGTTAGGCCCTTAAGAGGTGGCAGCGGTGACTCAGTGGTAGAATTCTTGCCTTCCACGCAGGAGACCCAGGTTCGATTCCTGGCCAATGCACCTCATGGGCAACCACCACCCGTCTGTCGTGGAGGCTTACATGTTGCCATGATGCTGAGCAGGTTTCAGTGGAGCTTCCAGACTAAGACAGACTAGGAAGAAAGGCCTGGTGATCTACTCCCAAAAACTAGCCAGTGAAAACCCTGTGGATCTCAGCGGTCTGATCTGCAGCCAATCACAGGGATGGCGCAGGACCAGGCGGCACTTTGTTCCATTGTGCACGGGGGCACCATGAGTCGGGGGTCGACTCAGCAACAACTAAAGACAGCAAGAACCTTAAGAAGGAGGCTTGTTTGGGGGAGACTTGAGGGACACAGCGGCTGAGCCGGGTAACTCCTGATAGGTGGTGTCAAGGGGGGTGTCCAGGGCTCCCAGCCAGGGCCATCTGTCTCCCCTCCTCTGGTGACACCCACTGTGATCGCTTCATCCGTGCTGTGAGGTGGGCAGCCATTCCACGAGGAACTCTGAGCTGCAGCGGCTTGAGAAGTTCAGTAAACATATTGTACCTGGGAGCCCTGCAGCCAGACAGACACTTTCCTGCCTGTTCTCCACCCACAGCCATCAAGGAAGGGGGCCGAAACAGAGCAGCAGACAGCAGGCTGGGTGCGCTCGTATCCTCCCGCTGCCTTTCTGCCTCCCTATGGCTGGCCTGAGCAGTCTCCACAATGCCCACGGCGGTGCTCTCTAAAGGAGCCACACGGCCAGGAGCCCCACATTTTGCTAAAGGTTTGGTCCCCAGAAAGGAGGTTCTGAAAACAGAAATGTTACCCTGGAAGGAGTAGGGAGGATGAATGGCAGGTAAGAGTGTTAGGGGTGGGGCCCGCATCACTTTCCTGTTGCTGAAGTGGGTAAAGGGGACCAAGTCTGCTTGCTACACGGCTGCCTGCTAGGTGTGCATGCCAAGATGTGCTGGGTGTGCGTACCAAGGTGTGCTGGGTATGTGCACCAACATGTGCTGGGTGTGTGCACTAAGATGTGCTGGGTGTGTGTACCAACATGTGCTGGGTGTGTGTATCACAGTGTACTACCAAGGTGTGCTGGGTGTGCACACCAAGATGTGCTGTGTGTGTGCACCAAGATGTGCTGGGTGTGTGCACCAAGATGTGCTGGGTGTGTGTACCAAGGTGTGCTGGGTGGGTGTGTGCACCAGGATGTGCTGCTGGGTGTGTGTACCAAGGTGTGCTGAGTGTGTGCACCAAGATGTACTGGGCGTGTGTACCAAGATGTGCTGGGTGTGTGTACCACGGTGTACTACCAAGGTGTGCTGGGTGTGTGCACCAAGATGTGCTGGGTATATGTACCGAGATGTGCTGGGTGTGTGTACCAAGGTGTGCTGGGTGTGTGTACCTAGTACCAAGCCCTGGCTTTGGGGACGGGAGTGGCAGGAAAGATGTTAACTGTGGAGAATGTTGGGGGCGGGGGGAGGGAATCCTTGGACTGTCTCAGACTCTCCACGTATCAAAAACAGGGAGACTGTGGATCATTTCATTTTGCTTATGAATAGTTAACCACTTGGGATGTTTGGTTGTGTTTCAAGGGCTTGAGGGGCAGAAAGGAAGCTCTAGACTTTCCCTGCAAGGGGATGTTGTCTTGCCTTAAGAGGTCATTTACTTAGGTAAGCATCTAAGAAGCCTGCAATATTGCTCATTAAAATCAAAGAGACTGCCTCACTCCGAGAAGTGCACACAACATCATATTTTTGGTTCCTGTTTAGTCCAGGAGGCTGGGGGTGCGCTAGCCTGCAAATCACCTCCATTTTTTCATCATATCACAAAATAAAGACTCCAGCTGGTGGGAACTTGTTTTGCTTGTTAGTATTTCCAACAAACACCCCAAACCTCTGATTCTTGTGGGTTTTTTTGGATTATCAACTCCTTCTGTTGCACAAAGCTGTTCCGAACACTACAACCTGATAAAACCTCTCATGGTTGCCAACCTCTGTCTTAGTGAGAGCTCTTTTGAGTCAGGGATGTATCTGTTCCTCACAATCTATGGAATGATCACTTAGGTTTCTGCCAGTATTTTGAAGAAATAGTGTTATGATAAGTGTATTTATAATAGAGTTCTTTTTTTTTTTTTTTTTTTAGGCCAAGAGCTTACGTGATAATTATTTTTTTTCCAAAACAAATACCATATTAGAGAATAATATGCGATGGAGATATAAGTTCTTGTAGGACATGGAATTTGCTTTGGATTTCTGTCCAGAAAGATCATGGAGATAAAGAAGTAGGTAGAATGAATGATTAACTTTTCCTTCAGCCCTCAGCACATACCAAGCAGACGGGTGCTTATGAAATAACATGATTTCTGGTCTGATGAAATCTTGATGGGAGGGGATAATAAAATACTTTCAGCTTAACTGATTCCAAGCCTGAAGTTGTATCTGAGGAAATCTCTCAGTCTATTCTCCTCCCACAAGTGGACCTCAGGAGGTATTCTCCACTGGAAGCTTTCCTGCTTGGAAAGTGAGGTAGGGTAGTGGTTAGAGGGGGGAGTTTGGAGTGGTGAGTTTGGGGTGGTGGTGCTAGGACCTGAGTGTATAGGAAGATGACAGTTGGGGCAGGCAGGTCCTATGTCCTCACCTATGGGCTGGACGGGATTTCATCACATTTGTGGATTTTCTCAACTCTTGAGCCCCTCCATCTCCTAGTGGACTCCCTTCTCCCATCCTCCTGACCCTTTCTGCTTGGTTGGGAAGTGTCTTAGTCATCTAGTGCCGCTGTAACAGAAATACAACAAGTGGATGGCTTTAACAAAGAGAGATTTATTTTCTCACAGTCTAGTAGGCTAGAAGTCCAAATTCAGAGCATCAGCTCCAGGGGAAGGCTTTCTCTCTCTGTCGGCTCTGGAGGAGGGTCCTTCTCGTCAGTCTTCCCCTATACTAGGAACTTCTCTGCGCAGGAACCCCGGGTCCAAAGGACGTGTTCTGCTCCTAGTGTTTCTTTCTTGGTGGTATGAGGTCCCCACTCTCTGTTTGCTTCCCTTTCCTTTTATCTCTTGTAAGATTAAAGGTGGTGCAGGCCACACTCCAGGGAAGCTCCTTTTACATTGGATCAGGGATGTGACCTTAGTAAAGGTGTTACAATCCCACCCTAATCCTATTTAACATAAAATTACAATCACAAAATGGAGGACAGCCATACAATACTGGGAATCATGGCCTCACCAAGTTGACACATATTTTGGGGGGACACGATTCAATCCATGACAGGAAGTCACCTTCCCAGAATGACTGTCTTCCCTTTCACGACTCAATTATTTTCCACTTTGAACTTTTTGTTGATATAATGTTTTTCCAGTAATGGAATGCATGCTGAATCATTGAGTGTGACTGAATTTTTGGTAGGTAATATGGATTTTGATGCATATTATAGGGGACACATATGTCCCTCTGAACTCTGGGGGTAGGATTGGTGGTACATCAGGTGCACTGCATCTCGTCTGACTGCTCTGCATCTCATGCTGGCTCCTGAAAATGAGATATTCCCTTGAACATGGAATCATCGCAAGAAACGCAACTTCTAAATAACACACAGGAACCTGGAAATATGCTTACAAGGCTTATCTCACTGTACAAAATCCAAAAGAGACAAAAATCTTGCACAATCACACTTCCAGGATGCACCACCTCATACAATACCCTGTAAAAGCAGTAGTTTGGGGCACATGCCCTTTTCTTCTGTTTAGTCAAACTGTTATACAGGTCCTTACCTTCAGCAGCATGTGCTGTAAGTGGGAAAGCAGCTTCCCAAGAAACCTGAGAGGCAGAAAATGTAGGTGGGCAATACATGTTCTACAGGTTACAAAAGGGTTATTAAAGAGAACCTGGAGTCCCTGCGTGGCACAAATGGTTAAGTGCTCGACTACTAACTGAAAGGTTGGTGGTTCAAACCCACCCAGAAGCTACTCAGAAGACAGGCTTCAGCTTCCAAAAGGTCACAGTCTTGAAAATCCTGTGGAGCAGTTCTACTCTGCACACATGGAGTCACCAGGAGTCAGAATAGACTCTACAGCAACTAACAACAACAAAGAGAATCTAATCTAATCTCAGCACCCATCCACTGCTGAGAAAGAATGTTTTGAGGGAGTTCCCTGGTGTTTTGTTTCTGAAGCTGGAAAGGAGATGCCTAGTGTAGGAGGTGGAGGATATAACAAAGGGATATGGATAGGCAGGGACCCATTGCTAGACATGGTATCATTCCATGTCCCCCATTTTGGCTAATTGTTGTTAGTTGCCATCAAGTTGGCTCCAACTCATGGCCACCCCATGTACAGCAGAACAAAATGTTCCCTGGTCCTACACCATCTTCACAGTTGTTGGTATGCTCGAGTCCATTGTTGCAACTGTTGTGTATTTTGAGTGACTTCCAAGCTAGGAGGTGCATCTTCCAGCACTATAAAACCAGACCAAACCAGTTGCCGTCAAGTCGATTCTGACTCATAGTGACTGTTTAGGACAGAGTAGAACTGCCCATATTCTGTTGTTATCCATAGGGTTTCATTGGCTAATTTTTGGAAGTATGTCACCAGGCCTTTCTTCCTAGTCTGTGTTAGTCTATAGCTCTACTGCAACTGTCCATTGTTGGTGAGCCTTGTGGTATTTGATATATCAGTGGCATAACTTCCAGCATCACAGCAACACGCAAGCTACTCCACTGCGATAAACTGACAGACAGGTGGTGGATTTTGGCTAATACTCTTTCATTTACTGGAAGTCTTAAAAGATGTTCGGTGGGAAAAGTGATAACAATTATTCAGAACATCCTTCTTCCACTCTGAGAACTCACACGCTTTTCTATGCCACAGGAAGCCCAAATCCACCATCACTCCATAGCTTCCTGGGCACGGCTGCCCCTCCCAGGCTTCCTTCTTAAGCCCACGGTCCTGGGCATGCTGTTAGGTCTTGCTCTAGGTCTTGATCATGGTTGTCTGAAGGCAGCTACTGAGAATAAAAATGATTAGCTGTGTTGAAACACCAGTGTTGAACCCTTGAGCCACTGTGTGGTCTGCGTTATCGCATTCAAACCTCACCACCCCAAACCAGACAGGTGCTATTTCTAGTCTTTTTTTTACAGATTAGGAAACTGAGGTTGAGGGCAGTTAGAGAATTCTTCTGGCTCACACAGCTAGCATGTGCAGCCCTAGCTTCAAACAAAACCAGCCCATCTCTAAAGCCTGCCCTTTCATCCCTCCCAGCCCCATTGCTCCATTTGATGTTTTTGGCCAGATTTTTTTTTTTTTTTAATGGAACAAAATTGTGACATTTCTTCCAAGTTTCCAAGAGAGTTTTAGGGTGTGTTAAACTCCCTCACTCCTTCTTCCTTTGCCTTCCTTGATTCCTCCCTCTTTCTTTCCTTCTTCTCTTCCTCTATCTCTTCTTCTTTTCTTTCCTTTTTCCCTCTGTCCCTCTCTCCCTCCCTTCTTCCCTTCCCTCTGTTCCTCCCTCCTTTTCACCCTTCACTGCACACCACTTATATAACACTCACTATGAGTCAGAAGCCACAGTGAACAAGAAAGGCAAGTTCTCTGCCCTCCTGGAGCTCACATTCTCTTGGGCAAAGGCAGACAACAAACAAGTAAACAAACACACAAGAGAGAGAGAGATTGGGGTACCTCCCAAAAGAAAATACAAAGGCTGATGGGATGGGGGTGGTAGAGGAGGCTGGCTTAGATAGATGGTCAGAGAAGGTCACTTTCTGGAGGTGACACTGGATTTGAAAACTGAAGGAAGAGCTGCCTGAATAGCTGGGAAAAGAGTAGACCAGGTAGAGAGACCAAACAGCAAGGGCAAAGGTCCTGAGAGAGGCAGGGCAGGGCTCAGTGTCTATGAGGACCAGGAAGGAGGCCGGTGTGGCTGGAGCGTAGTGGGCCAGGAGAAAGTGGAGCAAAGTCAAGTCAAAGAGTGGGCAGGGCCAGATCCTATGGTGCTTTGTAGACTGTGGTTGGAGTTTTGGATTTTGTTCTCAACATGATGGGCAGCCACTGGAGATATTTAAAGGAAAGCAATGACATGATTTGATTTTTACAAGATCACTCGGGCTGCTGTCTGAGGAATGGATTATCAGGGCCAGGTGGAAGTGGGAAGACCCATTGGGGGTGCTTATCTGAGAAGTTCTTCCATGAAGACAAAAATCAGTTAGATGACCTGGTAAGGTCCATCTGATTGCTAGTTCTCTGGTTGGGTTTTTGTTCATCCTGCGTCTTGCCCTCCTTACCAGGTTTGACTATGAAGGGCTGGAGCCTAAGACAACGTATTATATCATGAGGGACCTGGAGGCCCTGGTCACGGACAAGTCCTTCATCGGCCAGCAATTCGCTGTGGGGAGCCATGTCTACAGTGTGGCGAAGACAGATAGCTTCGAATATGTGGACCCCGTGGATGGCACCGTGACCAAGAAACAGGTAGGGAATCACCAAACAGGTTATTATGTAGATCCAACAAGGCCAGGTATCCTAGAGCTGGAGAGGTCTTTGGGGGTGATCTATTCCGAGCCCCTGGTTTTGCAGATGAGAAACCTATAGCCCTTGTTGAAGGTCACATGGCTAGTTAGTGGTAGAGGTTGGATTAGAACATGGGGTCTCTTTGTCCAGCATTCCTTCCACTTGGTGGAAATATCAGTGGTCTAATACCTCAAATAGATACAGACCCAACATTTCCTTCTAAAATATTTGCAGCCTGCAGACTCTCTGATGTGATGGCCATTACTCATGAGATTCAGAAAAGTTGACAAGAGCAAAAGATCCCTGTCCTTGGGACAACAGGTACAGATGTGTTTCACCTTATATCACTGAGGAATCCCGAGAACTTAGGTCGATCACTAAGGAATCCCAACAACTTAGCTCCATGGGTTTGTTACTTCTGGTAGGGGAAGAAACAGTTGGGAAATTTGTCCCAAAACCCAAAAGGAAGATTTATGGTTAAGAATTATTACCATAGATAAGTGGCAAAATCAACCATAACTTCTGTTATGGCCTCATCTTGGTGAATTGTGTAAGAGAAGTTGAAAGCTATTACAGGTTATCTGTCTTCTCAGTTTTATTTATTTATTGGCTATGACAAATATTGACCTCTCTGGAAGCAGCTTTGTAACACTTATACTCTAAATAAGACAGCCCAAGGAATGCTAAGAGAAGTTGCATTCTAAAACCCCCAAATTCTTATCTTCTTATGTTTTCTTCATCAAGTACAGACAACAAAATAAGCCATAAATTGCAGGTCCTTTGGAACTATGGAGCCCTGATAGCACAGGGATTAAGAGCTATGGCTGCTAACCAAGGCTGGCAGTTCGAATCCACCAGGTGCTCCTTGGAAACCCTTTGGGACTGTTCTACTCTGTCCTATAGGGTTGCTATGAGTTGGAATCGACTCGATGGCAATGGGTTTGGTTTTTTGGGACTAGATATAATGGTAGTGCTATTGCTAGTTGTTGTCAAGTTGCCTCCGACTCATGGCAGCTGTATGTATAACAGAAGGAAACATTGCCTAGTCCTGTGCCATCTTTGTGATCGGTGGTTTGAGTCCATTGTTGCGGCTACTGTGTCAGTTCATCTTATTTAGGGTTTCTCTTGTTTTTACTGACCCTCTACTTTACCAACCATGATGTCTTTTTCTACCAATTGATCTTTCCTGGTGACGTGTCCAAAGGAAGAGAACTGAAGTCTTGCCATCCTTGCTTCTAAGAAACATTCTGGTTGTATTTCTTCCGAGACTGATTTGTTCATTCTTCTGGCAGTCCATGGTATATTCAGTACTCTTCACCAACACCACAGTTTGAACGCAAGCTATAATGGTAGTGTGACTATTTTTGTGTTGACTAGTATTTCATACATACTCCCTGAATTGCAGACGTTCCAAAGCCCAATGCCCTCTTGTCTTTCTGTTGGTATTCTGCTGATGTTTCAGTTCTATTAAAATTTCAGTGTTTCCTTCTAGAGGGCCTTCTGTGGCTGATAAATTGATTATAAACTTACTTTGGAAAGCTGTAGGGTAATGGAGAAAATAGTGGTTATGAAGTAGGAAGACCTGGAGTTGAATCCCACCTCTGCCACTTAGTAGTTGTATGACCTTGGGACAATTGTTTATTTTCTTGGGGCTGTGGTTTCTTCCTCATCCGTGAAATAACCTGTCTCCCAGAGTTATTTTAGAAATAGAATGAAATAAAACACACAAAGACTCCCCGCTATCCTTCCCATGGTGGGTACGTGGTAAATTTTTGTCACTATGTTTTGTTTCGGTCTGGGATACTTTCTCATAGACTGGATTGAATTCTCTGAAAAAGCACCAGGGAATCCAGTGGAGATGTGAGATTGAGAACTCAGAGCTGGCGTCTTTGAGCCCCTATTCTCGGATAAGTCTTTTCCAGTTTTGTACAACGTTCCTTCTTCCATTTTACATGGGGACCTCAGAAAAGAAAGTTTCCCAAATCCAAGTCCCATTTTGTTTTTGTTACTGTAGAATCCAAAAAGCATAAAATATGTGCTTTCTGGGGTATTCTGGGGACTTTTTTTCCACTGAAAAGGAAAGTTTGAAAACCCATTCCTTGAAGGGATCAGTCTAGTAGATCTGAGGGTCTGGACTTTATCTGCACACGAGAAGCTCGACTGGGAGCCCGTTCGTTTTACTCTTAAATCCAATGTCTCTACCTTGTTTCTTCCTCAGTGCACTCAGCGTTTGGATATTTTTCCTTCTGTGTTCTTTAGCTGTTTCACATCAGACTAATTCCTCAGTGGATCTCAAGTTCTGGCATCTATTTATTCCGTCTTTCCCCCCATTGAACCCTGAATATGGGTTTCCATTTTCACTTTGGAATTTATTGATTTTTTTTCTCTTTCCAATCTCTTCCATCTGAGCTCAAAAGTGGCCATTAAGTGGCTAAGTGCTACAAGGACCTGCTCTTGGGTTTTTTTCTAGTTACGAAGGAAGGAAGATTGGTGTCCATCTTCCCAGACTCCAGGAGCCCAGTGCAGCATCATTAGCCCCTGTCCCTGAGTCACACTGGAGCTCCCAGTGTCTGGGTTTGGCTTGGCGAGGGCTACAAGAGAGCAGTTATCACTCAGGGGCATCCTCATTGTCAGCAGGCCACACGTGGTTTTTTCACCACCATCGGTCCTGTTGGCATCCTGGGGAATTCCTGCAGAGTGGGCTGAGGCTAAGCTCTCACCACTGGGGCTGTACACTCAGCTCTCTTGGGGGTGTCAGTAGAATAAGCCTACTTTTCATGCTGTAGGCTCCTAAAAGACATATTTGAATTTAAATGAATTAGCCTTGTTTTTTAGGGGTACCTAGGTGGCACAGATGGTTAAGTGCTTTACCACTAACCAAAAGGCTGGCGGTTTGAACCCACCCAGAGGCACCTTGGAAGCAACGCCTGGCGATCTGCTTCCAAAAGGTCACACCCCTGAAAACTCTATGGAGCACAGTTCTGCTCTGACACACATGAGTCGGAATCAACTCAATGGCAACTGGTTTGTTTGTTTTGGTATTTTTAAAAAATAGTCATAAAGTACTTAGGTGACTTTATTCAATAGATATTTATCGAGAACCTACCAAATTCATAATACTGTTGTTTTTTTGTTATGGTGTAGTTTTTAAAAAAATAAATATATATCCAACACCCATTCCTGATAAAAACTCTCAATAAAATAGGTATAGAAGGGAAATTGCTCAACATAATAAAGGGCATCTATGCAAAACCGACGGCCAACATCATTCTTAATGGAGAGAGTCTGAAAACATTCCCCTTGAGAACAGGAACAAGACAAGGATGCCCTTTTTCACCACTCCTATTTAGCATTGTGCTGGAAGTTCTAGCTAGAGCAATAAGGCAAGAAAAAGAAATAAAGGCCATCCAAACTGGTAATGACAAAGTTAAGCTGTCCCTGTTTGCAGATGATATGATACTATACATAGAAAACCCTAGAGACTCCATGAGAAATCTACTGGAACTAATAGAAAGATACAGCAGAGTAGTAGGATACAAGATAAACATACAAAAATCAGTTCGATTCCTATGCACCAATAAGGAGAACGATGAAAAGGAAATCAGGAAAACAATACCATTTATGATAGCCCCTAAAAAAATAAAATACTTAGGAATAAATCTAACCAGGGATGGAAAAGACCTATACAAAGAAAACTACAAAACACTACTGCAAGAAACCCAAAGGGATCTACATAAATGGAAAAACATACCATGCTCA